CTCTCTCCTCTCCAATGAAGACAGTTGAGTCTCCAACTGCCAGTCTCAGTCCACACAGAGGACAACACCCGGATGAAGTTCACAGGTGATGAAGTTTCAGTGAAATACAACATCTTACAATTCAGAACTCTTCAGCATCAATCCCAAGTGGTGAAGTAGACGTGAACCTGACTTCTGTTGTTTCTTGAAGACATTTTGCCTCAGCCAAAAGGTTCCTCAGTTCTGGCTTCTACTGAAACAGGGTTAGGATTGTCATCTACACCAATGTAATACTTTTTGCATTAAATTATGAAAATGGGTTACATATTGAAAGGTTATGAACTGATTCTGTTTTCTATGTTGTTCTTTTGTTGTAAAAGCTTGTCCAAGGCTAAGACGGTGCCGGCTTCTCTCCCCCACACAGACTCTGCTGCTGTCTTGCTACTCATCTCCAACAAAATTCCTGCTTATGAGGTAAAATAAAATAAAAAAACACTCCTGTTTTCATTGGAGTGCAGATCTGAGAAGATGTTGTCTTTTGCCTCCCTCCATCTCCTGATCTCAAGTGGTGCTCAGTGGTGTGAAGGCCAGAGTGGCCGTGGTTCTGTATGACCATAGATGGACTCTCTCGGCTCTCTTCAACCAGATGGAGAGAGCTGCTTCAGGGCAGCAAGTCCAAAGGCTCGGCCTTCTGGTTTCAGGAGGAACAGAGGAGGTTCATCTGGTTAATGGTGAGACTTCATTAAAATTCAATTGATCATATTTACTGTAGTTGTGTCCAAGTCCAAGAACTAAACATTTTCTCTTGCATTGGTGAATACCCACACTGTAAAAAAAAAACGGCCTCAATTTACGGTAAAAAACCGGCAGCTGTGGTTGCCAGAATTTTACCGTCTTTATATGGTAAAATTCTGGCAACCAAAACTACCAGTTTTTTACCGTATTTTGGAAATGCAGTATTTTACCGTATTTTTAAAATACGGTAAAATTCTGGCAACCAAAACTGCCAGTTTTTTACCGTATTTTGGAAATGCAGTATTTTACTGTATTTCAAAAATATGGTGAAATTCTGGCAACCAAAACTGCCAGTTTTTTACCGTATTTTGGAAATGCAGTATTTTACTGTATTTTTAAAATACGGTAAAATTCTGGCAACCAAAACTGCCAGTTTTTTACCGTATTTCCCAAATACGGTAAAATACCGTATTTCCTAAAATATGTTAAAAAAATTAAAATGTGGTTTTTCCGTAGAAAATATGGTCATACTGCCTGAGGCATAATATCTACATAAGTGAAAAACACAGCCAGACTGTATGATATATTGACATTTTATTGTAAAAAAAAAAAACAACCCAAAAACCTTTTGGTAAATTACTGGTCACTGTTCTTACCAGAATTTTACCATAAAAATTATAGTACAACACACAAGGAAGTGTAAGTTGTCAGCATTTCTATACAGAAAGTTATAAAGAATATTTATTCAAATTAAACAAAAAATACAGATTATGAGTAATCCACTTAAAGAAACAATTTCTATTTAAAAACAGAACAGATTCTATTTTCTGTCCAGTTTCCTCATGGTATTACTGAGATCTGGAAAACAAAACAAACAAAAAAACAGCATGTGTCCACATAAGAGATAACCTATTGTAGAAGAAAAACCGGTGATAAAACGATTTTTGTTCTGGGTTGAGAGTAACAAGTCACTGAGTTCAGAGTTTGCTCAGGGTGGTTGTAGTCTTCCCAGTCACAGGTTGAAATCGAGACTCACATGTTGTCAATCGGGTGTTTCCTCTCTGCTGGAAAACAAACAAAGCAAAAGTTAGAAAGATGCACTACATGAACATCATATAAATGCACCATTCACTTAAATGTTTGTTTCACCTTTGTTGACTTGCATATGGAGACTGGTACTTCAACCAGGCGGTGTGATCATTTCTGACTGAAAAGTCAGTAGTTCTTAAACCTTTGTTTGTTGACTACAGGTGTGATCCTCTCTGCAACCAGACAAAATACACAAACAAAAACCACAAATAAAAACAAATATAACTTTTAGGCAATTTATGAAATAGATACTCACCATTTATCTGAGTCTCATGAAGGCCAATAAGTTGTCTTCAACCATTTATGTAAGTTACA